TCATAAACATTTATTAAAGATTTATAAAACAAATTTTTATACAACATTCGTTTCATAAACCTTTAATAAATCTATGTGTTACTTAGTCTGTAGATTAGTCAATAGTTCTCGACTATAGAGTAGTCTATGGTATTGATTATAGAGTAGTCTATATTCTGGATTATAGAGTAGTATATAGTCTTGACTATAGAGTAGTCTATAGACTTGACTATAGCGAAGTCTATAATCTTGACTATAGAGTAGTCTATATTCTCGACTATAAAGTAGTCTATAGTCAAGAATATAGAGTAGTCTATAGTCAAGAATATAGAGTAGTCTATAGTCTTGACAATAGAGTAGTCTATAGTCTTGACTATAGAGTAGTCTATAGTCTTGACTATAGAGTAGTCTATAGTCTTGACTATAGAGTAGTCTATAGTCTTGACTATAGAGTAGTCTATAGTCTTGACTATAGAGTAGTCTATAGTCTTGACTATAGAGTAGTCTATAGTCTTGACTATAGAGTAGTCTATAGTCTTGACTATAGAGTAGTCTATAGTCTTGACTATAGAGTAGTCTATAGTCTTGACTATAGAGTAGTCTATAGTCTTGACTATAGAGTAGTCTATAGTCTTGACTATAGAGTAGTCTATAGTCTTGACTATAGAGTAGTCTATAGTCAAGTACTCTTGACTATAGAGTAGTCTATAGTCTTGACTATAGAGTAGTCTATAGTCTTGACTATAGAGTAGTCTATAGTCTTGACTATAGAGTAGTCAATAGTCTTGACTATAGAGTAGTCTATAGTCTTGACTATAGAGTAGTCTATAGTCTTGACTATAGAGTAGTCTATAGTCTTGACTATAGAATAGTCTATAGTCATGACTATAGAATAGTCTATAGTCATGACTATAGAATAGTCTATAGTCTTGACTATAGAATAGTCTATAGTCTTGACTATAGAATAGTCTATAGTCTTGACTATAGAATAGTCTATAGTCTTGACTATAGAATAGTCTATAGTCTTGACTATAGAGTAGTCTATATTCTCGACTATAAAGTAGTCTATAGTCAAGAATATAGAGTAGTCTATAGTCTTGACTATAGAATAGTCTATAGTCTTGACTATAGAATAGTCTATAGTCTTGACTATAGTGTAGTCTATAGTCTTGACTATAGAATAGTCTATAGTCATGACTATAGAGTAGTCTATTGTCTTGACTTTAGAGTCTTGACTATAGAATAGTCTATAGTCTTGATTATAGAATAGTCTATAGTCATGACTATAGAGTAGTCTATAGTCTTGACTATAGAGTAGTCTATAGTCTTGACTATAGAGTAGTCTATAGTCTTGACTATAGAGTAGTCTATAGTCTTGACTATAGAGTAGTCTATAGTCTTGACTATAGAGTAGTCTATAGTCAAGACTATAGAGTAGTCTATAATCTTGACTATAGAGTAGTCTATAATCTTGACTATAGAGTAGTCTATAGTCTTGACTATAGAGTAGTCTATAGTCTTGACTATAGAGTAGTCTATAGTCTTGACTATAGAGTAGTCTATAGTCTTGACTATAGAGTAGTCTATAGTCTTGACTATAGAGTAGTCTATAGTCTTGACTATAGAGTAGTCTATAGTCTTGACTATAGAGTAGTCTATAGACTTGACTATAGAGTAGTCTATAGTCTTGACTATAGAGTAGTCTATAGTCTTGACTATAGAGTAGTCTATAGTCTTGACTATATAGTAGTCTATAGTCTTGACTATAGAGTAGTCTATAGTCTTGACTATAGAGTAGTCTATAGTCTTGACTATAGAGTAGTCTATAGTCTTGACTATAGAGGAGTCTATAGTCTTGACTATAAAATAGTCCATAGTCTTGATTATAAAGTAGTCTATAGTCTTGACTATAGAGTAGTCTATAGTCTTGACTATAGAGTAGTCTATAGTCTTGATTAAAGAATATTGTATAGTCTTGAAAAGAGAGTAGTCTATATTCTTGACAATAGAATAGTCCATAGTCTTGAAAATAGAATAGTCTATAGTCTTGACTATAGAATTGTGAATATTGTCTTGACTATAGTATAGTCTATAGTCTTGACTATAGAATAGTCCATAGTCCTGACTATTGGATTGTCTATAGTCTTGACTATAGAATAGTCTATAGTCTTAACTATAGAATAGTCTATAGTCTTGACTATAGAATAGTCTATAATATTGACTATAGAATAGTCTACAATCTTGACTATAGAATGGTCCATAGTCCTGACTATAGTTTTGTCTATAGTCTTGACTATAGAGTAGTCAGTCAATAGACTGGGCTATGTAATAGTCTATAGTCTTGATTAAAAAATATTGTTTAGTCTTGAAAATAGAATAGTCTATAGTCTTGACTATAGAGTAGTATATAGTCTTGACAATAGAATAGTATTTTGTCTCGATTATAGAGTAGTCTAAAGCCTTGACTAAAGTCTTGACTACAGAGTAGTCTATATTCTCAACTATAGAGTAGACTATAGCCTTGACTATAGAGTAGTTTATAGTCTTGACTATAGAGTAGTTTATAGTCTTGACTATCGAGTAGTCTATAGTCTTGACTATCGAGTAGTCTATAGTCATGACTGTAGAATAGTCTATAGTCTTGACTATAGAATAGTCTTGACTTTAGAATAGGCTATAGTCTTGACTATAGAATAGTCTATAATAGTCTTGACTATAGAATAGTCTATAATAGTCTTGACTATAGAATAGTCTATAGTCTTGACTATAGAATAGTCTATAGTCTTGACTATAGAATAGTCTATAATAGTATTGACTATAGAATAGTCTATAGTCTTGACTATAGAATAGTCTATAGTCTTGACCATAGAATAGTCTATAATAGTATTGACTATAGAATAGTCTATAGTCTTGATTATAGAATAGTCTATAGTCTTGACTATAGAATAGTCTATAGTCTTGACTATAGAGTTTTTAACTTGTATTGGCTATAAAGTTTTTGTCTTGTATTGACTATAAAGCAGTCTGTAGGGTAGTCTATAGTGCTGACTATATAGTAGACTATACTCTTGACTATAGAGTAGTATATAGCCTTGACTATAGGGTAGTCTATAGCCTTGACTAAGGAGTAGCCTATAGTCTTGACTATAGAATAGTCTGTAGTCTTGACTATGGAATGGTCTATAGTCTTGACAATAGAAAAGTTTTGACTACAGAATAGTCTATAATCTTGACTATAGAATAGTCTAAAGCTTTGACCATAGAGTAGTCTATAGTCTGGACTATCGAGTAGTCTATAGTCTCAACTATAGTGTAGACTATAGTCTTGACTATAGAGTAGTCTATAGCCTTGAGTATAGAGTAGTCTATTAGCCTTGACTATAGAGCAGTTTATAGTCTTGACTATAGAGCAGTCTATAGCCTTGACTATAGAGTATTCTATAGCTTTGACTATAGAGGAGTTTTTAGTCTTGACTATAGAATAGTCTATGGTCTTTTCTATAGAGTAGTCTATAGTCTTTTCTATAGAGTAGTCTATAGTCTTGACTATAGAGTAGTATATAGCCTTGACTATAGAATAGTCTATTGCCTAGACTACAGATTAGTCTATAGTTTCTACTATAGAATAGTTTATAGTTTTGACTATAGTTTACTGTTTGTGGTATGGAGATATTGTTTTTTTAAAAGATTTAAACTTAAAACTCTTAGATTTAATGCATTTAAAGACATATTAAGAAATAGTGTAGATAAAGTAAACCTGCACAGAAAAAAAATGAGAACAACAAGAAGAAGTAATAACATAATTTGAAATTCAAAAAGTTTTTAATAAAACTAAAGAATGAAGTCAACATTCTAAATAGTTTTAACACCATGTTGTTTTCTCCCGGCACGTTTTCATGTGCGTATATGTAGTTTGAAGTAATAGGGTGTAATTTTTTTTTGACGATTTTGAGAAATAACGAAGAGTGAGAATGAGATGATTGTGTTAAAATTTATTTAGATTCAAAAAATTGTCTTATATTTACTGATAGATTTGAATGTATGGCACATTATAAGTATAGTTAATTCAGCTTTTTTCAAAATTAAAAAAAATACCCCCCTAATATACCATTACTTTAGTTTTCCTACTCTTGTAGTTATTTTTTCTTAATTCAATGGAGTAATACGTTGCATAGACGGATGGATGAATGAATGAACGAATTGTTGAATATATGAGATGTGCCTGGCTGCATGGTTAGAATGGAATATATGAGTAAAAATGAGTAGGAGTGGAACATGTTGAGAAGAGCCTGGTGTTGAATAGTTAAAATAATGATATAAAGGCTTTTTTTTAACGTAAAGAAAAGTGACACCAGCATTTGAAGATGTGGATGGATGGATGGATCTATGCAATTTTAGCTGCAGCAGTGCTAGAATAAGGATGACAATGACGTGGAGCTAGTCAGCCGTATACAAGTAAAACTAGTGCAATAAGTTAATTTTCTTGGTTCTTCTTTCTAGTTTTTATTCATTTTATATTTATTTACTTATTTATGTGTTGTTGTTGTTATTATTGTTGTTTTATTTATATATTTGTTATTGTTCAGGGACCTAAATATTTATATTTGTGTTGTTGTGTAGCTATTGTTGTTTATATAGTACTTGTTGTTATTGTTGCTGTTGTTGATTGTTGTTGTTTTTATGCTAGTTAGTTGTTAAAGTTGCTAGTTGACTCATTTTCCCAATTATTTTTGTGTAAAACTAAATCCGTATGTCTGTCTGTCTGTTTGTGTTTTTTAGCTAAAAGTGGAGTGTGTTTTCTATTTGTCTTTTGCTCCTCTTAACATTGCTGCTTGATGCTACTGCTGTTGCTGCTGCTGTTTACATTTTGTTGGTCTTTAAAACAAACGATAGCTTTGTGGAAATGTTGACACAGTCAAACGTTGCACAACCGTTTGTAAATGTTCATATTTTAAGGTTCCAGCAATTAAATAGATTTCCTCAAAGTTTTCACGACTTCTCTTCTCATCGCAAAGTTTTTGCAAATATTTATACATACGACCATACTGTTCATGGACATAAGCATGCCACAGAGAGAATTGTATTACCTGTAAAGAAATTACAAAAGTTTAAAAAACTTTTATTCTATATTTGCAATAGAAAAAATGCAAAAAAAAAATTACATGGTTTTTAAAATGTGGGGGAAAGAAAGAAAAAAACCAACAAAACTTTAGAATAGAGTTTATATTACCATCATCAAATAAACACATTAAAAACTTTCAGCTGTGCACATTTTAATGCACTTTAGATTTTTTTTTCCTAACAAGAACCACAACAGATTAGAGGACATAAATGTGTTAGGAGGCATATTGCAAAGTAACAGTTAACAGGGGAACATTTGCCACGGGCATTAGAACTAAAAAACAGTATTTAGTTTTCTGTGTTTTCCCTCAAATAATCACAACATATTTTTTTTTTAATAAAATTAAAAAAACAAATCTATTTTTTCATCATTTCCCATGATGTATAGTGTATACAAATACAAAATGCTATCACCTATTTCCTGTCCTGTCTTCATTTCCCACTATTAGTTTATATGTATCAGACATGGTAAATTTTAATTTTGAAATAACACTAACTTATAAAGAACTAGATTAGACTATAGACTAGACTATAGGCTAGACTATAGGCTAGACTATAGACTAGACTATAGACTAGACTATAGACTAGACTATAGACTAGACTATAGACTAGACTATAGACTAGACTATAGACTAGACTATAGACTAGACCATAGACTAGACTATAGACTAGACTATAGACTAGACTATAGACTAGACTATAGACTAGACTAGACTAGACTATAGACTAGACTATAGACTAGACTATAGACTAGACTATAGACTAGACTTTAGACTAGACTATAGACTAGACTATAGACTAGACTATAGACTAGACTATAGACTAGACTATAGACTAGACTATAGACTAGACTATAGACTAGACTATAGACTAGACTATAGACTAGACTATAGACTAGACTATAGACTAGACTATAGACTAGACTATAGACTAGACTATAGACTAGACTATAGACTAGACTATAGACTAGACTACAGACTAGACTATAGACTAGACTATAGACTAGACTAGACTTGACTATAGACTAGACTATAGACTTGACTATAGACTAGACTATAGACTAGACTATAGACTAGACTATAGACTAGACTATAGACTAGACTATAGACTAGACTATAGACTAGACTATAGACTAGACTATAGACTAGACTATAGACTAGACTATAGACTAGACTATAGACTAGACTATAGACTAGACTATAGACTAGACTATAGACTAGACTATAGACTAGACTATAGACTAGACTATAGACTAGACTATAGACTAGACTATAGACTAGACTATAGACTAGACTATAGACTAGACTATAGACTAGACTATAGACTATACTATAGACTATACTATAGACTAGACTATAGACTAGACTATAGACTAGACTAGACTATAGACTAGACTATAGACTAGACTATAGACTAGACTAGACTATAGACTAGACTATAGACTAGACTATAGACTAGACTATAGACTAGACTATAGACTAGACTATAGACTAGACTATAGACTAGACTATAGACTAGACTATAGACTAGACTATAGACTAGACTATAGACTAGACTATAGACTAGACTATAGACTAGACTATAGACTAGACTATAGACTAGACTATACTAGACTATAGACTAGACTATAGACTAGACTATAGACTAGACTATAGACTAGACTATAGACTAGACTATAGACTAGACTATAGACTAGACTATAGACTAGACTATAGACTAGACTATAGACTAGACTATAGACTAGACTATAGACTAGACTATAGACTAGACTATAGACTAGACTATAGACTAGACTATAGACTAGACTATAGACTAGACTATAGACTAGACTATAGACTAGACTATAGACTAGATATAGACTAGACTATAGACTAGACTATAGACTAGACTATAGACTAGACTATAGACTAGACTATAGACTAGACTATAGACTAGACTATAGACTATAATCCAGACTATAGACTAGACTGTAGACTATACTATAGACTAGACTATAGACTAGACTATAGACTAGACTATAGACTAGACTATAGACTAGACTATAGACTAGACTATAGACTAGACTATAGACTAGACTATAGACTAGACTATAGACTAGACTATAGACTAGACTAGACTATAGACTAGACTATAGACTAGACTATAGACTAGACTATAGACTAGACTATAGACTAGACTATAGACTAGACTATAGACTAGACTATAGACTAGACTATAGACTAGACTATAGACTAGACTATAGACTAGACTATAGACTATAGACTAACTATAGACTAGACTATAGACTAGACTATGACTAGACTATAGACTAGACTATAGACTAGACTATAGACTAGACTATAGACTAGACTATAGACTAGACTATAGACTAGACTATAGACTAGACTATAGACTAGACTATAGACTAGACTATAGACTAGGACTATAGACTAGACCTATAGACTAGACTATAGACTAGACTATAGACTAGACTATAGACTAGACTATAGACTAGACTATAGACTAGACTATAGACTAACTATACTAGACTATAGACTAGACTATAGACTAGACTATAGACTAGACTATAGACTAGACTATAGACTAGACTATAGACTAGACTATAGACTAGACTATAGACTAGACTATAGACTAGACTATAGACTACTAAGACTAGACTATAGACTAGACTATGCTACTAGACTATAGACTAGACTATAGACTAGCTATAGACTAGACTATAGACTAGACTATAGACTAGACTATAGACTAGACTATAGACTAGACTATAGACTAGACTATAGACTAGACTATAGACTAGACTATAGACTAGACTATAGACTAGACTATAGACTAGACTATAGACTAGACTATAGACTAGACTATAGACTATAATCCAGACTATAGACTAGACTATAGACTATACTATAGACTAGACTATAGACTAGACTATAGACTAGACTATAGACTAGACTACAGACTAGACTATAGACTAGACTATAGACTAGACTACAGACTAGACTATAGACTAGACTATAGACTAGACTATAGACTAGACTATAGACTAGACTATAGACTAGACTATAGACTAGACTATAGACTAGACTATAGACTAGACTATAGACTAGACTATAGACTAGACTATAGACTAGACTATAGACTAGACTATAGACTAGACTATAGACTAGACTATAGACTAGACTATAGACTAGACTATAGACTAGACTATAGACTAGACTATAGACTAGACTATAGACTAGACTATAGACTAGACTATAGACTAGACTATAGACTAGACTATAGACTAGACTATAGACTAGACTATAGACTGGACTATAGACTAGACTATAGACTAGACTATAGACTAGACTATAGACTAGACTATAGACTAGACTATAGACTAGACTATAGACTAGACTATAGACTAGACTATAGACTAGACTATAGACTAGACTATAGACTAGACTATAGACTAGACTATAGACTAGACTATAGACTAGACTATAGACTAGACTATAGACTAGACTATAGACTAGACTATAGACTAAACTATAGACTAAACTATAACTTGTAGTCTAGTTTATAGTCTGACTATAAAATAGACTATAAACTAGACTACAGATTAGACTACAGACTAGAATATGGTAGACTAGACTATAGTCTAGACTGTTCTATTGGTTAGTATGTTGCCGAAAATGTTGTCGGGATACCGTAGTATTTTGCCATATCTAATGTACTGAATTTTCCATGCCTGATATGTTTACTATAAAATGTCTCTTCCTCACAGTTGTCCTTTTACTCTTTTATGTTTTATTTACTCTAATACCAGTGCAGTGTGTTAAGTTTTTACGTTTTTTTTCTTGCCACACTGGGATTTGAAATCCAACCGGTAAATGGTCTAAAGAAGTAAAATCTGTTTTAATTGTAGGTGCCACATATCACAATGGTGTTAGATGTTCGTCGGTGTTAGCTAGAGAAAGTGCTAGTTGTCTCTTTTGTGTTTGTCTGTCTGTCTTTCTTAGTCAGTCAGTCGAGAGTTAATTGCTGCCAGCAAATGTGCACCTTAATTAAGGATGTTGACTTAAAAGTACTTAAGAAGACATTGGTCTCCATAAAAAGATTTATATTTCAATTTTAAAATAGAGATTTTTTTTTTTTTTAAGAAAAGAATGAAAAAATTGGCAACAGGTGTTCTATGACCAGTAAATATGTATATGGACAAAAAAGGAATGTTTTAATTTTGGAAACTGAGATCTTTTTTTTGTTTATGGATTAGGATTTGTTGATACAATTTCAAAAGTTAAACTTTTTGATTGACAATTCTTTAAGTTTAAATCTCAATGAATACTTTTTTATAGAAAAGTGTCTTTTTTAGATAATTTTCTATAGAAATGAGTTTTCTTAAGACAATTTTCTGAAGAAAAGTGACATCTTTAGACAATATTTTATAGAAAAGTGTCTTCTATGGACAATTTTCTATAGAAAATTGCCTTCTTTGGACCATTTTTAATAGAAAAGAGTCTTCATTGGACAATTTTCCATAGAAAAGTGTCTTCTTTAGACAATTTTCTATAGAAAAGTATCTTCTTTGGGCAATATTCAATAGAAAAGTGTCTTCTTTGGACAATATTATATAGAAAAGTGTATTCTCTAGACAATTTTCTATAGAAAATTGTCTTCTTTGGGCAATATTCAATAGAAAAGTGTATTCTTTAGACAATTTTCTGAAGAAAAGTGACATCTTTAGACAATATTTTATAGAAAAGTGTCTTCTTTGGACAATTTTCTATAGAAAATTGCCATCTTTGGACCATTTTTAGTAGAAAAGAGGCTTCATTGGACAATTTTCTATAGAAAAGTGTCTTCTTTTGACAATTTTCTATAGAAAAGTGCCTTCTTTGGATAATTTTCTATAGAGAGGTGTCTTCTTTGGACAATTTTCTATATAAAAATGTCTCATTTAGACGATTTTCTATAGAAAGGAAAATTTTTTGGACAATTTGATATAGAAAAGTGTATTTTCTATAGAAAAGTCTAATCTTTATACAATTTTCTATAGAAAAGTGTCTTCTTTATAGAATATTCCAAAGAAAAATGTCTTCTTTAGACAATTTTCCGAAGAAAAGTGATATCTTTAGACAATTTTCTATAGAAAAGTGTCTTCTTTGGACAATTTTCTATAGAAAAGTGTCTTCTTTGGACAATTTTCTATAGAAAAGTGTCTTCTTTAGACAATTTTCTATAGAAAAGCGTCTTCTTTGGGCAATATTCAATAGAAAAGTGTCTTTTTTGGACAATATTCTATAGAAAAGTGTATTCTTTAGACAATTTTCTGAAGAAAAGTGACATCTTTAGACAATATTTTATAGAAGTGTCTTCTTTGGACAATTTTCTATAGAAAGGTGTCTTCTTTGGACAATTTTCTATATAAAATTGTCTCATTTAGACGATTTTCTATAGAAAGGAAAATTTTTTGGACAATTTGATATAGAAAAGTGTATTTTCTATAGAAAAGTATATTCTTCAGACAATTTTCTATAGAAAAGTGTCTTCTTTAGAGAATATTCTAAAGAAAAATGTCTTCTTTAGACAATTTTCTGAAGAAAAGTGATATCTTTAGACAATTTTCTATAGAAATGTCTAATATTTATACACTTTTCTATAGAAAACTGTCTCCTTTAGACAATTTTCGATAGAAACATGTCTTCTTTAGACAATTTTCTATAGAAAGGTGTCTTTTTTGGGCAATTTTTTATTGAAAAAGTGTCTTTGGACAATTTTCTATCGAAAAGTGTTTTCATTAGACAATTTTCTATAGAAAAATGTTTTCTATAGAAAAATGTTTTCTTTAGAAAATTTTCGATAAAAAAGTGTCTTCTTTGGACAATTTTTTGGACAAGTTTTTATAGAAAAGTGTCTTCTTTGGACAAGTTTCTATAGAAAAGTGTCTTCTTTGGACAAGTTTCTATAGAAAAGTGTCTTCTATAGACAATTTTCTATAGAAAAGTGTATTCTTTGGACAGTTTTCTATAGAAAGGTTTATTCTTTGGACAATTTTCTATAGAAAAATGTCTTGCTTAGACAATTTGTTGATTTGTTCCTATATAAAAGTTTTCTTCTTTAGAAAATTTTCTATAGAAAAGTGTCTTTTCTAGAATTTCTGTACAGAAAACTTTCTTCTTTTGAAAACATACTATAGAAAACTGTCTTCTGCACTGCACGGTCTACTTTTAAAAGTTTTCTCCCTGAATGTTTTATTTCCTGCCTCCTCTGTTGCTGAACCGTGTAATTATTTAAAAATTATATAAAATAATTTTCTAATTTGTGTTTTTTTTTTCATTATGCATTTTACATTGTATGTTTAAGTGCTTTGTGCCAGTTAAATTATGGATGCTGTAATAATCCTCTAGTACCTTAGATGTTTATATTTTAAAATGGTTGCATTAGTTTGTTTTCCCATATTTCCATGTTTAATGGTTTTCACTCGGTCACTCGGTTGCACAAATGAGCAACACGCCCAAAAACTCCACCCCCAAAGACACACACACTTACACAAATATAAGCCAATGCACAAAAACCATGACATAAATAAATAGAAATTGTAATGGAAAATAGAAAAATTTATATGGAAACTTACCTTCGAATCACTGGCGTCCACAAATTTAATGATTTCTGTGTACACATTATCAATATCCTCTAAACGATCTTTAACGTTTTTATCCAATACACACAATTTAGCAACAGCAATACCCTTTTTGGTCAATGCCTCCAAAAGATTTTACGCTGATTGTCCATTTGGCTGTAAATTAGAATTGTACAAAAAGGAGGAGAAAAAAAAAAACATGAATTTATTAAATCTGGTAAAAACAGAAAAAAGTAGTAAAATGCTAAATACTGAATAAAATTAAAATCAAATACGAAAGAAACATTCAAATTAAACTGAAAGTGGCGCGAAGAAAAAAAAAACTCGAAATTGAATGAAAAACATTTTCCAAAAATAAACTAGAAAATAAAATTCAAATAATGTACGCGCTGTTGGAGTCAATTTACTAGTTCATTATTTTGTGAATAATGTTTTTGCCCAAAAAAAAAAAAAAACTAGTTAAAACACGAGTAGAGTGGTAGAGGAATAGCAGCAGGACAAGGGGTAATTAAATGAAGTACTACCCGGTACTCTAGTGTTGTGTTGGAGTTTCCTTTTCCGCTGAACGAGTGTAGTTTGGTGAAAAATTATTCTGCCTCACAACCTCACTAAGATTTTATGCATTTTTTTTTTAATTTTGTTGCTGTTGTAGTTTTGTATAATTGCTTAAATTATTCTACAATACCAGCCATCCACTCCCAAAAGCAAACGTTAGTGCAATTCGAAGGTGTTGTTGGTTTAGAGGGTGTAAGAGGTCAATTCAAATTTCAAATGTATGAAATTGCAAATATTTTCTTGAAACGTTATAAGGTTTGTTTGGAATTTCTATTGAATTAAAATTGACTCAATAACTCTAGTAGTTTTACTCTTGCTTTGGGTGTTGCATGTTGGTTGATGCTGTTGTTCGTACGAAAAGTTTATAATGATTTTATGAAAAACTTTAAGTTTTTCATACAAAAAAGTTTTATTAAGGCAATTTAGCAAAATGTATTAGTTTGTTGTTCTCTTTTTGGTTTGGTTTATAATTGAAGTGCATTAAAAAGTGTTAATTTTAATTAGAAAAAAATAATTTTTGGGTAAAAGTATTAATTTTCCACATTGTAAATGGATTTTTGTTTGGCATTAGAAAAGAGCCTATAAGGATTGGATTGTTAATATACTCAAGAACTTTTCTGAGGCCAACTGCTTAAGAAAGACATTCTTCCATGGGAGATACTTCTATAAAAGTATCTTTACTATAGAAAATCTTTAAACGAATACACTTTTCTATAGAAAATTACCTACAAAAGAGACATTCCTATAGCAAATTATATACAAAAGAAACGTTTCTGTATCAAATAGTCTACAAAAGAAATTTTCGAAAAAAAATCTTTAAAGAAGACATTTTTCTACAGAAAATTATATAAATAAATTGTGTAAAGAAGACACTTTTCTATAGGAAATTTTCTAAAGACTCTTTTCTATAGGAATTTTCTAAAGAAGACTCTTCTATAGAAAATTGTCTAAGGAAAACTCTTTTTTTTTGAGAAAATTGTATAAAAAAGACACTTATCTACAGAAAACTCTCTAAAGAACACAACTTTTCTATCAAAAATTGTCCAAGAAGACGTATTTCTATAGAAAATTAAAGGCAGACTTTCTATAAATTAAAACACTTTTCTATAGAAATTTAGAAACCAGTTTTCTATAGAGAAGAACATCTTTTTCTATCAGAAAATTGTCTATAGAAGAACACTTTTCTATAGAAAATTGTCTAAGGAGACCTTTTCTATAG